TAGGACATTAAAGGTAAAAATCTTGCTTCCTGATTCAAGGACTCATAATCTGGTGGATGAAATGGCTCTGGGGAAGGATAAAAGAGGATGGAGCCATTCACGTATAAGTATAAATTTTGCCCAAGATGCTAGTAAGCAGTTAGAGAAAAGCCATAACACTTTAAGCCTCCCAAAGTCCTTTTATCATGGGGCAGGGAGAGGGAGAGGTCGTGTTTCTCAACCAGCAGATGATGCAGGGCAGTAGATGACCAGCACCATCACTGTAAGTTTTCCACAGGGGTCAGAGTAGTTTCCCTGCCTTCCAGACAGGTGAAGTATGGCTGACTTCATAATGAAGTTTTCCTCTTGGCTGTGAAGCCTGTAGAATTTTAATGATTAAATTGTAGCACAAAAGACCTGGAAATCTAAGTCTCTTCACTTGACAGGTGAGGAAATGAAACCCAACCTCCATAGGGAAGACGGTGCCTCACTCACGGTGCTCCCTGACCCTGGTCAGGTCACCTCTGTAAATGCTACATGCATACCCCTTGTGCATGAAGCAGCTGCTCAGACTGGGAAGCGGGTTCCCTGAAACTGTTTCCAACCACCCTTGACTTGATGTGTGCCACTGAATTCTCTGCACATCCGTTTTGCCGAGAAGTTACTTAATATCTGCACCTGCTGACTTTTCTGATCACCTCTGTTGGGTATCTAGAAGAACACTCCCTAGGAATATGCCTGCATTGCCTGCATAATCTAGTGGTGAAGAAATGAGTTGTTTAGATTCAAATCTAAATCTTAGGACTTCTTACAAAATGCTAAATCTTTCTAAATTCTGGTTTCCTTATCCTCAAGGTGCAAGTGGTGGTAATAATAATTACCTAGTGTGGTGCTGCAGGGATTAAATGGAAAGTTTTCAGTGGTGTCTGGCCTGGAATGAGGGACTATGGAATGTGGTATTTACAAAACAGAGACTCCCAAAGTCCTTCAAAGAACAAACCTGGAAGCCTCAGAGGTCCTGGCCCCCTATTTTCCTGCCACCCAGCACATCAGCTTTCACCGACAGACGGACCTGCATTTTCAAGGAGTGCAGGACTGAGAAGGGTGATATGTTGAGGGCAGACCCGTGATGGCCCAGGGTCTCTTACACCAGTCTGTCAGCCTCCTTGAACGATGGATGGATCCTCTGGTCAAGACAGGGTGTGATTCAGGGTCAGGTAATGAGAGACAAGAGCCTTCATGCCAGCCAGCATCCTATTTATTTGTGGATTTGGCTTATTAGAGACAAATAGTGCTGAGGCAGTTCTGCAGGCATCAAATGAATTATTTATGCATCGGATGAAATTGTTTTATTGGCGATTTCCAACCTATTTAACTCTTTGAGTTTTTCTGCCTGGCGTGTAGAAGCCACCGAGCACTTCTTAATCACTTTCTAAATTATATTTTGGGTCCCACCTTGAAAATTTATGAGCATTAGGATAATATGCAAGGTGTCCATACTTAAGGATCTCTAAAGAAAAAAAAATCAAAACTAAAAAGTCTTGAGGAAAATCACTGGTTTCTACAAAAAACTTATTGAAGAATCTGTGTTATTGAACTAATAAGACCTTTCAACATCTACAGTGAGAGATATTTAAAATCAAATGTAAAGATTCAGCACTTTTCTTTATTTTCCCAAAGTTCAAGGGAAACTTTCACTTTCTTTTGGCATGCAATTTCACTCAAAAGTAATTGCTAGCCCTGCCTTATCCTATTATTTGAAAATTCAATATAATTAGAGACATATTCTTTACTAGCTTGAATTTTTGCCTGGCTTTTTTTCAGCCTGTTGCCTTTTCAAAACACTTTTATTAAAAACTTGTTTTAGTGTCACATTCTTTAAAGAAAAATAATAACTTCCAAGCGCATTTTATGGGACTTGCTCAAAATACAGGCTGCAATGCCAGAAACTAATAAACTCAAATCGCACGGCTTCCATCAGAAGCCTGCCATAAACTCTTGCAGAGCGGCATGGGCATGTTTGACCTGAAAATTGAAATCCGTGTGCTATAATACATAGTTTTACTGGAGAAACTGTCACCAGGCCCTGCAATTTTAAAATCGTGTTCTTATTCTATTGACTGTAATGCAAGTGAGCTCCTAAATATCCTTTTTGCCTCTAAAGAACTCTACTCTCCCCATCCTATTACCTTGAAGCATCAGCCTTATGAACTGGTATTTATTAGTCCTGTTTTATGGAGTGAGGCTTGGTGGGTAGTGGTTTTCAGGCCAGATCCTTGAGAGGAGGCGTTGTGACCTTGAGGTTGCTTTGGTTGTGGGCAGGGGAAATTTTGGGTGAGAACACCTGGATGAGAGACCTTAGGATGAGTCCAAGTGGATACCTGAAACCCGGAGGTGGGTCATCAGGTTTCTTGATCCATGGGTTAAATGGCCTTCAAGGTTTAGAACTTCAGCAAAGGAGCCCATGGGTACACATGAAGCACAGTGACAGTGATTCTCCCAGGCAAGTTCCTCAAAGAGCTCAATAGCAAGGCAGGCCCTTCTGGAACAAACAGCCAGGGCAGGAGGTTGGCCCCTTGGAGAAGAGACATCCATAGTAATGACAGAAAAGACGGTGGCTCTAGGGTACCTTGTTGCCTGGGGCGCTGAGTCCCTGCCAGGTGGAAGAGCACAGTTGACATCACAGTTCAGACAGGGCCATTCGGGGGACTCATTTCTTAAATCTGCTTTTATTTCAAATAGGCACAGTGGAAAGAAGTGGTTTAAATACCTTAGTAACTACCCATAATGGATCAAAGCATGAAAAATTTCCCCCTGGAATCTGGTAAGTGTGTCTCTGATGCTGAGCATGAAGATGACATGCAGATGAAAAGATCTTACCTCCTAGCTTCCCAGGTCAATAGCATTTAAAAACTTGGGTCTGAGGATGGTAACTCTAGTCACTGGGGAGAGAAATTGAGGCTGAAATGTGTCTTAAGTTCAAATGAAATACAAAATTTAAGTCGCTTGGCCTGCTTCTAGAATCTAAGGCTTTTCCTGAGCCAGGAAGGGAAGGGCCCATCAAGAAGAAATAAGCATTTTCTTACTCTTCTGAATTCTGTCAGTGGAAGGGATGGAACCCAATACCCAATGAAATATTCTGACGTGAACAATGCATTTTATTTTTATAATAAATTCAAATTCTAACACATTCAATTTTAGGGCCCTCTAACCTCATAAGTATGCAAATAACCAAAAGTAAAGTCTGGTGGATAATTTTCCAATATGAGCAGAACCATTCAGTATAAATAAGAGTTGAAAACTTGAGTGTATTTTCACTTCTGCAAACCAATTTGGTTTAATTTGCAAAATTGGTAGAAGATAGAAGATAAAATCAAGTTATTTAACAACTCAGTTTAAATTATTTTTAAATTGATTTAGTTTACATTAGCACAAAAATTGAAACATGTAGGTATAAACTTAGTAAAGTGAGTACAAGATCTATATGAAGAAAACTAACTACAAGATTAGTACAAACTAACTACATTTCTTTCTGATGAAAGAAATCAAAACTCTGAAAAAATGCAAAGACATTTCTTGTTCATGGGTAGAGAGACTCAATATTATCAAGACTGAAGTTCTTCCACACTTAGTCTTTAAACTCAATTACAATAAAATTTTAGCAAGTTACTTTGTGGATATCAACAATCTGATTCTAAAGTTTATATGGCCGGAAAAAGACCCAGAATAGCCAACATGATATGGAAAAAAAGAATGAGTCAGACATACCCTGTTTAGGACTAGGTATAAAGCCATAGAAATGAAAAGTGGTCCATGTAAAGAGAGATAAGTAAATCAAAAGAACACAATAGATTCCAGAAATAGACCCATACATATAAAGTCAATTGCAAAGGCAAAACAGTGGAGCAAAGATGATTTTCACAACAATGGTGCTGGAAGAACTAAATGTACACAAGCCAAAAAAAAAAAAAATCTAGACATGGACTTTACACCCTTTGTAAAAATTAATTCATAAACTTAAATGAATCAAAGACCTAAATATAAAATGGGAAACTATCAAACTCCTAGAAGATAACATATCAAAAAAAAAAATCAAAGTGACCTTGGGTTTAGCAATGAGTTCTTCGACACAACACTAAAAGCATGATCCATGAAAGAAAAACTTAATGAGTTGAACTTCATTAAAAATTTAAAACTTCTGCTCTGTGTAAGACACTGTAAAAAGAATGAAAAGATGAGTAAGAGAAAATCCTTGCAAAATACTATCTGACAAAGGACTTGCATTCAAATATATAAAGAACCCTCATAGCTCAACAATAAGAAAACAAAAAATCCAATTAAAATGTGGACAAAGGATTGGAACATACACCTCCTCTAAGAAGATACATAAAGATGACAAATAAGCATGTGAAAAGGTGCTCACCACCATATGTCACTAGGGAGATGCAAATTAAAATAAGGTACCACACTGGGTGCAGTAGCACACTCCTACAATCCCAGCAGCTCTGGAGGCTGAAGCAGGAGGATCACAAGTTCAAAACCAGTCTCAGCAACCTAGCAAGGACCTAAACAACTTAGTGAGACCCTGTCTCTAAATAAAATATAAAAATGGGCTGGGAATGTTGTTCAGTGGTTGAGTGCCCCTGAGTTCAATCCCTGGTAACACAAACACACACACACACAATGAGTAGTTGTCAGGGTTGTGGAGAGAGAGGGAGGAATGGGAGGACAGAGGATTTTTAGGGCAGTAAAACTACTCTATAAGATATTATACTGGTGACTATGTGTCATATGCATTTGTCCAAACCCATAGAGTGTCCCTTAATGCCAACTATGGACTTTAGTTAGTAGCAATGTGTCAACATTTGTTTACCAATTAAAACAAATATACTACACTAATTCTAATAATTGGGTAAGCTGGTGCAAGGGGAGACAGAGTATAGCAAAATTCTCTGCACTTTTTGCTCAATTTTTCTGTAACTCCAAAACTTCTCTAAAAAAACAAAGTCTATTAATTTTTATTTTTTAAAAAAAATCTTTATTTGGTGGATGCCTGTTTGACTAGATGATAGCTTCGCTTCACTTCACTTTGCTTGGTTCTAAGATCTTGATCATTGGTTAGTTTCCTGTAAAAAAAAAGCTTTATGATGGCCTTCCTTCAGGTCTAAACAATGCACAGAAAATACCTGACAATCAATACTATCATCTCTAATCTACAGATAAGAAAACTGAATTTATGAAGAAACATGAGACATGAAGCAGTGCCTAGAATTCAGGTCTCCTGATCTCATGTACCATCACAATTGAGTTTATGGTTTTCCTTCACAGGAGGGGTCAGTCAGTTTAAAAGATAAATAGAGGCATGACTACATATTTTTAAAAGCTGACCCTGCTAGACACAATAGAGGCAGATGCATTCACCACATTAACCACTACACAGTCATATGTTGATCCCACAAATGAATTGGTCACATGGTAGAGGATCTTATTTGAGGACCATGCATACCTGGTATAAGAAACTCCTGGGAAATAGAGAAGGATGAGAGGTGAGAGTGGGAACAGCAAAAGAGAGATACAGAGGAAGGACTCATTTTCTAAACCAGAGTGTGCTTGACTGATTTCATTTATCAGTCAGTGTGGATCAGGTTTTGCTGTGATAACAAATGAAGTTTCAGTAGTATAAACAGTAAAGGTTTATTTCCCTCTCTTTATCCATGGTATTCTCTGGTGGTAGGAATATTCTATCCTATTTTGTCCCCACACAGGCTTTTGGTATTATGGCACCTCCACCCTCTGGAAAGTTGCCAGTCACCAGAGCAAAAAAATAGGAATGTATGATTCACACTCTTGCCCTCAAAGACTTATTCTGAGAAGTGACACACAACATTTTTCCTCATAGTTCATGGGCCAACAAAATCCCATGACATGTCTAACTTCAAGGGCATGGAAAAATGACATCTGGAGTATCTTTGAAGAAGGCGGAAGGGATCTATGAATGACTATCATGACTAACTCTTCTGCCTCTATCAAAGTTCTCTTTTGATGTTACACACACCAAAAAGTGGCTTTTATTGGAAGAGGTAGAGAAGAAAGGACAAAATACAATAAAATTTAATTGGTACTCTATTCCTTTGGGCACTACTGAAATGGGAGCTAGACCAAAACTTGCCTTGGTTTGGAAAATTACATGTTTTATTGATAATGCAAATTAGTCTTAAAAATAGATCTTATGGAGAGGTTGCAAATAAGACTGTGAGTTCCTCAGGGGGAAAAAAAAAAAAGTTCAGTATCCATGAGTCAAACTGAACTCTGTAGGAGAGGATCCTCATTGAGCCCCTAGTGAAATGAGTGTGTTTTGTGGTATTTCATGGAAAAACTCTGCCCTTAATTCTAGGCAGCTCTCTGACAGTGATGGGATGATCCAAAAGGGGAGTCGTTTAAGAGATGCAGGTAAAAACTAAAACACAAAAACACCAGAAAAACAAAATTCAGCACACACTGTGTTTCATCTGTGTGCCAGGGCGGAGCCAGGGCAGTGCCAGGTCAGGAGATAGGTTGCAGACAGGCCAAAGAAAGTGCCCAGAGACAGCACGAGAAGCATATGATTTATCAGGGGAACGCTTACAAGAGATCAGTGATGGCTCCAACAGGAGTTCAGTGGAGGCAGGCTGATAGATAACAGCTCTGTTCTTGGTGATGCTTTGCCAAGTGGTGGCTCCTGTCCCTCATGGTGTTTTGTCCAGTGGAGGACAGCTGGATAAGACACAAATATCTTTTCCACACTGCCCTCAGTTCCATGCCCGTGCCCTCTCAGAGAGGGCTTCTATGTTAGGCTGCAGAAGCAGTGACATCATCAGCATTTACTGGCTTAGTTTCCTTATATAACCAGCATCCTAAAGAGCAGCTGTTCTGGTGTACATGCAAGAAAGTAGCTTTCTACAGATAGCACTAACTTGCCCTAGTTCCCAGTGTGCATAAGAGAAAGCCATTAACCTGTAATATATGGATCTGGGCTTTCCAGCCCAGGCTTATTGTCATTGTTCCCTTAACTTGGAGAGATTTGTGGAAACAGAAAGGGTGCATTTGGGGACATGCTGTTTCCCCTGTTCTCTTTGCTTTAGGGCTAATGCACATGGCTTGTAGGAGAAGAAGCAGAGCTTCAGCTTGAAGGACCCTCTGTCAGGGTCAATCATCTTTATCAACCTCATCACTGAAAAGCACACTCGCCGATCTTTTTAAATTCGACTAATCTAATCATTAAGACAGAACTCTAGTGGGCCTTACCAAAGTAAAATATGAACAAATAAACTCATTTATTCAACAAATATTAAGCACCTACTGTGTACCTGGCACTGTTCTAGAAAACAAATACAAGTTCCTATCCTGAAAGAATGAAAGAAAAATTTCATTTCATGGTTATTTATCATGAAATAGCTGATAACTCAAACTCTTCCAGTTGTACCTGAGGTAAACTGTTTCAGTCTTTGAGAAATCTGGGTCGGAGCGCTGACTCCAGGCCTCAGGACAGAGGCTCTGAGGCACAGCATGAACCAGAGAAGAGACAAAATGCAGGGAGATGTCCTGTGTCACATCAGGGAAGGCCCTTGACGGTTCTGTGCTGAATCTCCCCTTTGGTAAAATGAGGACAATGGTTCCTCCTGTTTCCACTCCTCCCAGCATGTCCACCGATTAGTTTCCTGTGGTCTAGGAGGCTCTAAGAACCTCCTAGAATGGAGTTGTTTCAGACATAATGTTCTACTTTGAAATACCTCTTAAGAAGCCAGGCCATGACCCCAAGGAAGGGTCTAGCACTGCAGCTCAATTTCAGTTATTCACTCACTGAAGGACCTGCCCTCAGGGAAAGTGGGAGGAGCCAAGATGAAAGCAGTTCCTGCCCTCAAATATCTCACAGTCTGGGGATAAAACTCTGAGCTGACTGTGTACCCGTGGGCAGGCCAAACTAAGTATGCTAAAACCAAGCACAAGACGAGGCCCATGCCACGGTGATTCAGAGGAGGGCCATTCCTGGAGAAAAGAGCATTTGAGATGAGGGATGAGATGACAGATGGATCACCAGGTTGGGGGGTAAAAAACTACCCTGCACAGCCTGGCAAGTCATAAGTACTTACTAAATACTTATTGAATGAACGAGTGAATGACCTGTTTTCTCTACTGGATAAATTGGGGCACTTTTTTGCCCATGTATGAAATGGGAATGCCACGCCAATCCCTCCGGGTTGTGGTGAGGACTCTGAAAAAATTCACTGAAAATACTCTCAGATCAATAGTACCTAGCACTCAATAGAAGTCGACTCTGGAGGAAGATCCTTCAGGGTGAGAAGAAGTCATGGGGATGGGGACAGGCAGGAGTATTGGGTGAAGGTGTGTGGAGCCGTAGGGGGCAGTGACATGTAGTAGCCTTGTGGAACAGAGGACCAAGGAGGCTCATCTGGGATGAGGAAGGGACACAGTAGCTGGAGGGGATGGATCTTTTTTTATGAAAGCCAAAGACCTCCCACATAGATGTCTTAAACATGGCCTTCCTCTGATATCCCTTGTCTCCATCCTCCAAGTCGATTGGCCTTTTATCTTTTGAGTGTGGCCTCTTCTTTGAGTCTCGCTTACTGACACAGTTACAGTGCTGTCAAAACTAGGGATTTAATTTTCTGTTTGCCAGGACAGGGGATTGAACCCAGGGTGCTCTATCACTAAGCCACATCCTCGGCCCCTTTTATTTTTTATTTTGAGATAGGGCCTCGATAATTGGCTGAGGCTGGCCTCCCACTTGTGATCCTGCTTCAGGCTGTCAAGTTGCTGGGATAATAGGCATTTTCCACCATTCCAGGTGGGATTCTACTTTTAAAAGAACTCTCTTGAGTGCCTCTCCTGCTTCCAGTTCCATCACTAGGACTCTGGTTGACATTCCATCCCTCTGGACTCCCTTGGTCTCCACAATCAAGCCCATGTCCATCTGCCATGTGCACCCTTACAGGCTGTGTATCAGGCTCTCCTGACCTTACTGCATAATTCTTAACTCCTGCTCCTCTTCCTCCTCATTACCTGATCCCTCTTCTGGTCCTCACTTCTTCTTCCCTGGCATTGGACCAGTGTGGAAACTTTATCTGACTCCTTCAGTAGACCTGGGATTATTTGGTCTGTTTCCAATAAGGTCTGGATGGGCATGGCACAGGTATATATCAACGGATAAATGTGTTTTTGATGCAGGAGTGAGTAGCTCCCAGCCTCCCCACCCACATCCAAATGATGGTGACTTTTCCTGGTCATAGCACAAAATCTTGGAAATCTCATCACACATTACACAATGATTTCACCTCTACTATCCCTTTGCTCCCCACAATTCTAGGGAGTGTTAGAGAATTTAAGAAGGTTATATGACTTGCCCCAAATCCAGACATGAGGGTGGCATTGGAACCCCAATGGGTACCACTTCACCCGCTGTGCTAGCTGCCTGCTGAGAAACTGCAAAACTTGTCATAACAGCTCTGGATCTACCCTCACCACCTCCTTTTGCCTTTGCTTCAATGGTCATAACCAGGGTCTCCACCAATCACCCACCTCCTCCAACCCAAATGCTGGGGAAATGGTTGTCTCTACTTTCCCTCTTCCTCCTACAAGCTCCGCCTCCCCATGGGACTCTCGGCACTGCCTTCTCCCCACAAACTCTGGATCTTGCTCCCTTCCTTTCCTTCCACTCCACTCTCTTCATCCCGAACTGCTGCCCTGAGCTGCTCCCAGTTCCATGCATGTTTTCCCCTTATTTTAAAAGAAAAAAGAAACCAGCTCTTCTCCCCGAAGAATTTGTCCTTAAAATCCCTTCATATGGAATTCATTTTAGAAAAGCAGGAGGGACCTTCTGGAAGGAACTGGACCTGTGTGTTCCACAGGACAGTGGAAGGGGCATGTGGTGTTGAGAAATCTGGGCTTTGGTGCCTGCTCTACCTGGATGGGTGTGACTCCTGTGAGGGGACCTCATCTGGGTCTCCAGCTGCTCACAGAAAGCACATACTTCCCCAGGTAGCTTTCTCTGCCAACCACTTGGATTCTTTCCAGCAGAGGATGGAACCTGAGCACACAGTTCTTCCATTTGCACTCAGGTGCTGCCGCTTACCAGCTGTGTGAATTGGGTGGATTCTTTCCCCTCTCTCTGCCTCAGTCCTCAGCTGTAAACTGGAGATAACAACTGTCAACGCACAGAGCTGGGGGAGGCTGTAGCCCAGGCATGCAAAGTATGAAAGCATCCTAAATGCTCACCAATTTTATGATTCCAGTGGGTGCTGGTTTGTATGGGACATCCCTCACACTATGCTCAGCCTGCTGTCCTTCTCTGACACATAAATTTAAGGTTTTCATAAAGACCCATGTCATCCTGTACATGCGGTGCTGTGTGCAGAAGGCTGATAGCATGACATCCAGCGTGAATCATCCTGCTGCCGGTGGATGCCAGTTGGCCACATGATGGAGAAATGGGAGCCAGAGCAGGATGAGGTGGAGAGGAGGAGGAAGTCCTGCAGAAAGAACAGGGAAGAGGAGGGATAATGTCAGCCTTTGGCCCAAGTCATCTGGTATGTGCTGATTCCCACTGCTCCGTCCCAGGATAGGGCTCAGCAGTGTGTGTGTGTGTGTGTGTGTGTGTGTGTGTGTGTGTGTGTGTGAGTGTCCATGTGTTTACATGCAGGGAGAGGGATATTAATGTTAAAAAATGAGATCTTTCTGTCTCAAGTAGCTCACAATCTAATGAAGAGACGGAGACTAGTTTAATTCAATTCAGGTCACGGCACTTGAAAAATCAGAACATATGAAGTGCAAGGAAGGAATCTAGTCCTGTGCAGGGTCTCACCTCCTGTTGGAGGTGGCAGCTGAGACAGACTTTAAATAAATAGCAAGGACTGCAACACTCATCCATTCACACGTTCAATCAGAATCAGGCACTGTGCTAGGTCTTCGGGAGGTAATGACAAACAAAACCAGAGTTCCCAGGTGAGGCATGGAGAATATTTGGGACAAAAGAAACGGGAAAAGCAAAGGTTCAGAGGCAGGAAAACACAAATCAGAGTGTGGCTAAAGGTGACAGAGGGGAAGAGGCCACAAGGCAGGCAGTTGGAGCCATGGCTGGGACAATTCAAATACCAGGCTGTGCGCTTGACCTTCATTCACAGATACGATATACAGAGGCACGTCTGGAAACACGTAGGCCCACTGAGGAAGGGCAACAGGGGCAGAGCTGCAGCTGGTCAAGGCTGATCTGGCTGCAGCTAGGAAGACAAGGACAGGAGAGGCAGAGCCAAGGGGGAGTTGAGTTAGGAGAACAGCACAGTCCCAGGGCCCAGCTGGAAGGGCTGGAAGGACAAGGGTGGCGCCCGTACAGGTCACTGTGGACGAGAAAGAGGCAGATGGCCTGTGAGAGGAGATGCGGGTCACTGCCAGCCCACCTGCCTACTTCTTCCAAGTTGGTACTCTGGACTTAGTTTTTTCATCCACAAAACAAATACACACCATATTTTGAGAAGCATAAGCAAGCTGCAGAGAGTGCTAGACACTGGATGGTGACCACTGGGCAGTACGTGGGAGATATAAGGACTGCCACTTAATGAACATTTCTTGACTTATTTGCATTCCGAGGTTCCCATGGATATACAGATGAACTTGAACTCCACCCTTGGTGACTGGATAGAGTGGCCGGGGAGTCAGAAGTGTCTTTCGAGGGGGAAATGGAGAGTGGTTGAATGGCTATAGAGGGCCATTGCACAGCAATGTGATCGTACTAGACACCACAGACCTGCACACTTAAAGTGGTTAAGATGGTAATTTTATGTTATGGTATTGTAACCACAATTTAAAGTAAAATAAAAATATTAAATGAAAGTAAACGTAAGAGGAAATAACAGTTTTAAATGCCTTGGTAGTTTTAGGTCTTTGTTGCCAGATGCATGATGGGAGTCATTTAAAGAAATAAGAAAATCTACAGGATTTTTTCATTCCTTGGTTAAGTCCAGCTTGCTCTTGCCTCCAGGGTCTGTTCTACCTGTTCTCCTGCCTGGAACATTCTTCCTCCAGATCTTTCTATAGCTGACTCCTTCTTGTTCAGGCCTCAGCTAAAATCTCCCATTACCAGAGAGGCCTTTCTGGACTATTACCTTATTAATAACCCCACCTTATGTTGTGGCTAAAATCTTCACGTAAGATTTTGTTCACCAAACCACTTTTTATTCTTTATCTTTTGTTTGCTTGTTTTCTGACTTATTTCTGTGACAGAGACAGACAGGTGTCTGCTCTATTCTTTTCTTCTTCTTTAGTAGCTGAGCCCAACATTTTAGCCATAAAATAAAACTTCATAACCTCATAACCCAGCCTCTCTGGCTGACTCTGACCAAATGTAAGGGGAAGTGTTCTTAGAAAGAAGGGACACACTCATCTTGTCTTCTTTTTTTCCCCTCTGTTGACTAGAATGTGACATGATTGCTGGGTCTTAAGCAGCTATGTTGGACTCTGAGGTAAAAAACCTCATGCTAAGGAGAACAGAGCTCTAAAAGAAAAGGATCCTGAGTATTTTATTGATACATGTCATGACAAGGCCCTACCAGCCTTAGGTCACATCCTTCTGGATCTCTTTAATTGGAGAATTAGGTTCTAACTTGATCAAAGTTATTGTTACATTGGGTCTTCTGTCATTTGTAGCAAACTTATCCTACCCATGCCCCTACCTCAGAGAATATAAACTCTATAAAAATAAGGCTCTTGCCTGCCTCACTGAACACAGGGGAATTAGATGCTCCAGTAGGAGCACAATGCCTGTGCATAGTAATCGTTTGGTAGGCACTTACTTTGTGAATAACTTGCTTGAATAACTTGCTTCTCTTCATATTTAATTTCTTCTCTCCAATGGTTTCTTTCTCTTTCTGCATGGCTTGATTTTAGTTCTCTTTTGACCTTCCTCAAACCCTTCCTCTTTCCATGTCCCTAAAAACCCAGGCATTTCCCAGACTTTGTCCATAGCTAAAGTGGAAAGTGCTAGACTTTTCCATGAAGTGTCTTCACGCCCACAAAACTTTTCCAAGTGTAACTATCTGAATCATAGGCTGCCTATGGCCATATTTAAATTCACATATTCCTGTCTCACCCTACTTGGACAAGGGATTGTCATGTGACCCAGAGGTGGCCAATCCATAGGCTTGTTGGGAACCTGTCTTGGTCTGGTATGGAAGAATGAACTGTATTAAGAGATTCCTTCTATCTGGAATAGGTCTTCATCTTGATTTTAGATTTTCTTTAGATGAAAAAGGTTTGATAAATACATAAAAGATAAAGTACCCCCCTGAATATTACCAGTTTAAATATTATTATATACAGACAGGAAATTCCTACCCAGGCCTGTGTAAGAAATCTTATCCTTAAGACAATCAGAATTAGCAGTTAGAATGTGCATATTTTTCCTGATTTTTTTTTATTAAACAGGTATCCATTAATACACATATTTATGTACAACACACCCCCCACACACACCCCCACACACATCCCTCTACACTGAACCTGCAGCATAGACTTTCTTCAGGGCAGGAGATGCAGCTTTATAGGGGACTGATTAGCATTCCTTGAACGGATGGCTAACATGATATTTTATAATTCTCCACTGATTCAATATTCAGGATGTGGTAGTAAACATTCTTAGATATATAGATTTACAAACTTGTAAGATACTGACTGAAAAGCAGGATTGCAAAGTCAAAGAGGATTAATTTAAACAATTTTTAGCAAATGTTATTAGATTAATATTCAATATGGTTGCAGCCAGTTCACAGCCAGACTCACATCCAGGAGAATTTCTGTTTTCTCACACTCTCATTAGCACGGGCTCTTGTCATTCTTTTAAATCTGGGTCAATTCGCTTAAAAAAAAAATGAGTATCTCCTGGTGATGAGATGAGATGATGGTGGGATGAGGAGACCTTTTGTACTTCAGAGGAAACTCAGGCACATTCTTGGAAGAGGCTGAGACTGAGACTGCACTCGCCCAGCCGGAGGTCCTGGTGTCACCTTGGAGACCGTGTAATCTTCTAGCTTCTCTCCTTGTCCTCATTGTGGGTCTTCCTTCCAGCTTTCCATTTCTCTTGGCTGTAAGACACCTTCCACAGAGCACCCAGCTGCTGCTTCAATCTCCAAGTGTGTAAACTAGCCCAACTTTCCACCTAGCCCCCCAAAAAAGAGAATCCTATAGATTTTCTTATTTCTTTAAATGACTCCCATCATGCATCTGGCAACAAAAACCTAAGACTATCAAGGCATTTAAAACTGTTATTTCCTCTTATATCTACTTTCATTTAATATTTTTATTTTACTTTAAATTGTGGTTACAATACCATAACATAAAATTACCATCTTAACCGTTTTAAGTGGGCAGGCCTGTGGTGTCTAGTACAATCACATTGCTGTGCAATGGACCTCTATACCCACTCAACCACTCTCCATTTCCCCCTCGAAAGAAAGACATTTCTGACTCCCCAGCCCTTTGTCTAGTCACCAAGGGTAGAGTTCAAGTTCACCTGTATATCTGTGGGACCTGCAGGATGCAATGAAAAAAACACTGATGATCTTGCACACAGAGGAGGAGAAACAGCCACGTTCTAGGGGACTCAGGAGGGGGTCAGAGCACAGGTGGGGTTGTCAGTGTATGTGTGGATGAGACAGAGGGCGAGGGAGAGATGGACACAGACACAGATAGGGAGAGGCTGAGTACCTCACTCAGGTGTGTCCTCATCTCTCCTAGACATTCCAGAGTCAATATCAAGTGAAGCAGGGTGCGGTGGCGCTCGCCTGTAATCCCAGCGGCTTAGGAGGCTGAGGCAGGCGGATTGCGAATTCAAAGCCATCCTCAGCAAAAGGGAGGCACTAAGCAACTTAGTGAGACCCTGCCCCTAAATAAAATACAAAATATGGCTGGGGATGTGACTCAGTGGTCAAGTGCCCCTGAGGTCAGTCCCCATGTACTCACAACAACAACAACAACAAAATGATCAAGTGGATGAGCAGAGTAGAAAGTCAGGCATGACAAGGTAAGCAAACCAATTTATAATTATTATATGAGATTCTCTATTACTCAGAGCTTTGCTCCCCAGCCCCTATCAGTGCCCACTGGAATTCCATGCTACCTTTATTGAGTGGAAATTTTGGCTCTCTGTCAGGTGTCAATGATTTTGCGGCATTTCCGTTGCATAATGATATGTTCTGGTTCAGCCTCCAGGCCATGGGATGCAAGCAGTAATTTTATCCCAAGGCAGCTTGGCCAGAAGATGGAAGCCATTAAGGACTGCACAAATTTTCCACTCAAATTCAGATGGGATCCGACTCCAATGAGCCAAATTATTTCACAAGTTCTATGGAATTTAATTCTCACAGTATCCTAGGCATTGAGCAAATGGGCCTTATTCCCACTATACAGGTGGAAAGGAGAGTTGAAACACAGACAAGTGATTGATTGACCTAGGGTTAGGCAGCAGGTTGGCAGAAGCACCAGCCTCTCTGCTTCCCTGTCTGTGCTTGGCCGGCTGCATCCCACGCCTCCCCAGTGGGGCTTCTAGCACATCAGCCTCAGGTCACTGAAGCAAAACAGCCAGGGGATCCTTGCTGTCCCCTGTGAAGGTGACTGACCATCCCAATTTGCCCAGTACAGGGAGATTTCCTGGGCAGGAGAGTTCCAGGCAAACTGGGACAGCGGTTGCCCTTTCTGGAACAGTCTAGGGACACATGACAGGTACTTAGATAAGTAGGAACTGCAGAGGTGGGCGAAAAGGAAACAGGTCTCAAGCCAGGTAGGCTTTTTACAAATGCTTTATAATTTGCTTTGAAAACAGAACAGCTCAAGGGGAAAGATTAGAAGGAGATGCACAATGTCCAGAGAAAACCCTCCACCTCCCCCCCCAAAAAAAATGAGTTCAGAGAGTCTGGAGTTGGCTCAGCTCTTTTATTCCTCTGGGCTCAGCCTCCTCCACCCCATCTGCCCACAGCTTAGCTGCCACCTCTCCCTTAGGAACACACAACATTGGCCACCCAGTAAGGCTACATGTTTCATTCCAATCACAATGAGAAATAGAGGCAGCACCAAACCAAGAAAAGAAGCTCCAGCCCCGACTTAGTCTGTGTGTATCAGAGAAGCCCCTTGGAAGGCAGCATGTGGGCACGATTATGGCCCCAACAAAGGTCGTGAGTGGATTTGTTCCCTTATTTTTCCTTTCTTTTCTTCATGTGAGGCATCCCTGAAGCTGGCCTTCTAAAGACAAGAGCTAAGTTCATGGTTTTTACATGTGACACACTCTACCCTTTGGAACCTGACGGGTATCCAGGGCGTGGAAAGGATTAAACCCACTGGCCCTGGGATTTCTGATTTACCCAGGAGAACAACAGCATTCAAAAGAGAGTCTGGAGCAAGTGCCCTATTTTGAGGCAATGCCACCACAGAGTTCCTATCTTTTATTAAAAGTTTAAAGGCAAAGGGAGAACGCCGAAGGATCCCATGAAGTCCTTTGCTCTTGAGGAGCAAAACAAATCTGTGACCTCACTGGATACATGAAATTGTAGCCAAAGGATTAAAGGATAGGAATGGAGAGTAGAAACTTACGAGTTTCTTTCAATTATCTTCCGGAAAGTTCCTGCAAGCCACATGCGCCTCTTGTATTGCTAACAAAAGGGGATTGTGCTTGAATCCCTTCCAGTGTCTGCTTCTTTTCCATCTCCACAGTGAACATTCTGCTCTCAGCTACACAGGTGCACGGCACAGCACCGTGATATCTCATAAAACCAGCTCCAGCCGAGGCGTTCACAGACACAATGGTGGGATTTATGAGACTCACATCAGCGAGTCTCTGTGGGAGGCGGGGCTGGCGCAGGGGACAGGTTAAAGAGCTCCCTGTGTTACTAGGTCATGTGAAACGCTGGCCAGGTGTCTTGATGACACATTTCCCACTAATAAACCTTGGGTAATGTGTGAAAAACAAGACCTTGAATCAACTTTCAAGGTAGATGGCCAT